AGTCCAGCAAGCACGCACACACACAGACTTAGCAGGCGGGGAACTCAGTAGGGCATTCAGTCTATGAGCAAAACTCAGAAATCAGCTGTGTGTTTTAGTCTGTGTTTGGACGGGTTATCTCACTACCCCCCCCTCAAGAGCGAGGTCCCTTCGAGCGAGTAACTCATTCTGAGTCCTCGGTAAACGCATCGTAGGCGAGCAAGGCAAAGAGATTCCTGGAATACTCTGTTGCAGAGAGCCTTGCTGAGATCTTTGGTGTGGTGTTAGCGGCGATCTGTCGCTCGTAAGCTTTAACAACGCGCGGTGCGCTGCGTAGCAGTTCCTGTTTGGAGATCCAGTAGAGATCATCTAACGGGTGATACATGAAATGCACCTGGTACTGTCTGTTTCTCCCATTACCTACATGCTGTTTGATTCTATCTATCTCATGTTGCCATTGATTGCGCCCGGGATCATATCTTCGCGGTAATCGAATGTCTCGGCGTCACGATGGAGGTTCAGTTTAGATGCATGAAACACGGGATACGTGCGCAGGTGAGCTGGCACGTCGACAACAGACGAAGGGCCAAAGTGATCTTCCCCAATTACATCCAAAACTTGCCAAGGCCCGTAGTAGAGTGTGAGGAGTTTGAGTGAGACTCCCTCCTCCTCTGAGAATTCAGACATCTTTACCCAGACATAACTTCCTACCTGAATCTCCGATGGTTTGCGCTTCTTGTTCGCATGGTGAATCATGGCATGCTGTCGCTTGGTCATGGCTGCAACAACAACTTTGAGCAAGCGATCATACTTAGCCCTGAAGCCGGGTCTGCCGGGTGTTCAACCAGCTGGCTGTTCAGGGAATAAGTAGGAGAGCGGATTACGGATCTGCCACCCGTAATGCAGCCTGTTAGGTGTCGTGGTGGTGGCAGAATGGACGAAGTTGTTGTACAACCCCTTGACAGAATACAGCTCCTCATCCCATGTTTCCTGATCAGGAATGATCAATGCACGGAGTAGTTAGAATACAGTTTGGTTGATCTCCTCAGCCAAACCGTTGGCTTCGGGGTGTCGGCCAGATGTCATGCACAGTTTGATTCCAAGGTGGGACGTGAACTCCTTCCATTCAGTGCTAATGAAACGCGGGTCCCGATCGCTCACAAGAGTCTTCGGGGCTCCGAATTGCAACAGGTATTTCTGCTGGATTTCGCGAATCACTAGATCTGTTGGGGCGTGAGGCGGTAAAGGAATTAGATTGAGAAACTTTGAAAACCGGTCAACAATCACCATGACGTGTGAAAACCCGTTCTTGCTTACCTTACCCATATCAGTGAAATCGATGGAGACGGACTCCCCGGGACCATCAGGAATGGGTAGGGGTGTGAGTAGCCCCATGGGCTTTTGTCTGCATGGTTTGATTCGTTGACAGACTTGACTCAGCAGTCCCTTTCATACCAAGCCAATCAAACTGTTTCAGCAAATTAGCGTACATTTTAGCCATGCCGAAGTGCCCGCTCCGGCCATGAGCCAAGTCCAAAAAGTGTGTGCGGAGAGGCTCATGGTTGGGTACACACAAACGGTCATGGTTCCCATATCGGCGAAAAATCAGTCCTCCATACTCGTGGAAATCAGGCTGACTACTAGGATCAACCCGCAGCTGCTCAAGGATGGAACTAAGTTCCGGATCCTTGACTGTCTGCTCTACGAGTTCCTCCTTCAGTATCTTCTGGAGGTCGTAGGATTTCACAAGGCAAGTCATGTACTCAGGGTGGCGAGACAATGCGTCAGCGACTCGATTGTAACAACCCTTTTTGTGTCTGAGTTCAAAGTCGAAGATGTCAATCTCATGAAACCAACGAAGCAAGGTAGGGGACAGAGTAGTCTGCATTTTGATCCACTTCAAGGTCTCATGATCCGAGAACACTTTGAAGTGGCGTCCCAACAGGTAATGTTTCTAGTGATCCAATGCCATGCGCAAAGCGTAGAGCTCGCGCATGTAGGTGGAAGTGGCTACCTTTACGCTGGGCATTCGTTTGCTGTAGTACTCGAGTGGCCGCAGGCCGTCGCCGTCATCTTGTTGCAGCACCGCACCGATCCCATACTGACTTGCATCCGTAGTGACTATGAAGGTCAGTTTGGGGTCAGCAATGCGGAGTACCGAATAACTTACCAAGGCTTCCTCGAGAGTTTGAAATGCTTCCGTACACGCGGCATCCCAGGAATAAGACACATTCTTGCTGGTTAGTCGCGACAATGGATGAGCAATGATAGAAAAACGGGGTACAAACTTCCGATAGTACGACGCGAGACCAAGAAAAGAACGCAATTCATGAATGTTCACAGGTTGAGGCCAATCGCGTATGACCTCAATCTTGGTTGCCTCAGGCTCTAGGCCCGCAGCAGACAACCGGTGCCCAAGATAGATGACGCTATCCCTCCCAAACTCGGATTTCTCCAAGTTGAGATGGAGCTGCATCTTCTTGAGGACAGCAAGTACCTCCTCAAGATGCTTGAGGTGTTCCTCCATGGACTTGCTGAAAATCAGGATATCGTCCAGGTACACTACCACAAACCGGCCAATCTGTTCGCGGAGGACCTTGTCCATGAGGCTTTGGAACGTGGCTGGTGCGTTCGTAAGACCGAAGGGCATTACGATAAACTCATAAAGCCCATCGCGCGTCTTGAACGCAGTCTTGTGCTGGTCCGCAGGATCGACTTCAATCTGGTGGTAGCCAGACTTGAGATCGATCTTGGAGAAGACCTTGCACCYGCCTGCDGCATCAAGCAAGTCATCTATACGAGGCAATGGGTAAGCATTCTTTCTTGTGATGCGGTTTAGACCGCGATAGTCAATACACATGCGGAGTTTGCCTCCTTTCTTTGGCACAAACAACAAGGGAGCACCAAATTCAGATTCGCTTGGTTTGATCCACCCTTTGTCGATCATCTCATCGATCTGCCGCCGGAGTTCCTCCAACTCGCCGGGTCCCATACGGTATACGCAGCCCTTTGGAGGAACGACACCCTCGACCAACTCGATGGTGTGTCGAACCGGTCGCGTGGGGACTCCACGTGGCTCGGCCAAGACTTTCGGAAACCGATCGAGGAGGGCTTGGATGTCTGATGGGACAGGTGGGGGTGGGGAATCAGCAAAGGGATCCCCAAGGTCCGGTTGCAAGTCGCGTATAGAGACGACCGAATGTGAAGTTGGATCATTTGGACTATCGGAGGGTAGAGAGGTAGAGGTGCTAGTAGTAAAAGTGCTAGAAGTAGGATCATTACTCAAGGTAGTAGTGGTACTAGCTGCAAAAGTAGAAGGCACATGAGCAGGACGAACAAAGGCAACATACAACTATTCTTCCTCTTTGTGCTTGCGCCACTTCTTGCAGAATTTCAATGCATTCCGAAAAGTCACTGGGGATTCGCGCTTCTCATCCGAGAGGACAGGAAGCTCGTTCCCCTGAGCATCTTTGACCATGAAAAGAGACTCCTTCCACTTGGTCCATTCGCATTGGGACTGCAGCCAGCCCAAGCCAAGGACAACGTCGAAGGGGCACTTGTCAAGGACAAAGAAGTTCAGTGCATGGGTGACAGTCTTACCTTTGTCAAAGGTAGTGCGCACACCTTTGACTGCATGTGTTGAAGAGACAACTTCTTTGTTGCCAACTTGGGTCCGGCAAGGGTTCTGCAGGGCCACTTGCAATCAACTAACACACGGAGATAGCGGTGGTTTATGAGAAGTTTGAAGAAGATAACTTCACTGTCCCTTGGCCACGCTGCTGTTTCATTTCAGCCCAATGCTCCAAGTGGTAGTGGAAGTCAATCATCTCAGACTCCTCCCAAGGCTCGTCATCAACACCTTACTCACCTCAGCCTCGTCTTCAGCAGATGGTTGGGCTTCAAGGGAGGGTTGCTGATTTTCATCAGATCCTGACTCCCCTGTTGCAGAGTTTGCTGAATCTGACTCTACGCCCGGTTCTGGTTTCCCTGCAACCTATAACAGTCTTGGACCTTGTGATTTGGCTTTTGGCAATGCATGCAAACCCCCTTCTCGAGTCTGCCCCGCCAGTCATTCTCAGTGACCCGGAGGTCAACCCAAGGTTTGGTAGTTGCATCCTCCGGTTTAGGCGGGATCTTAACTCCTTTGGGGAGTTGGACATAACTTTTCCCGGCACTTCGATTCGGTCCCTTAGTACTGGCAGTCTTTTTAAAGGCAGAAAATTTTTCTTCTTCTTTATTTGCATCGGACTCATGGGCTGAAGAACAAGCTGTATCGGAGTCCTGTTCTTGGTCGTCACCAAGAGTGGGGTCACCCGCATCGGCTTCTTCTTCGGCCTCCAACAGGTCATGCACAGCAAAACGGTTGCTGCACTTGAACCGTCTGCCGCCCATGGGCTTTTTGCTGCCTGCCGTGCTAACGAGGTCCATGGCCTCCAGACCGACTACATCCTTCATTAAGGCAAGCCAGTCAGTATAAGCAATGTAGTCCCTGCCCAGGCGACTAGTGAAGTTAGTTGGAACCGCGCCCTTGACCACATCTAAGCAAGATTGAGTGGACAATTCCAAACCAGGAGTGGCGAACAACTTGCTTAGATAGGTCTGCAGGCTTTTCATGGAGCCATTCCACTTGTTGTGCTTTACTTTATCCAGTTGAATCCTCGCTTTAGCAGCAACATGTGGATCTTGGTATTCTGAGATAAGGAGTTCTTCGAGGGAGGCAACCAGGGTGGTCCTTAGCCATTTGGCTAGTGCAGATTTTTGAAACCCAGCCCGTGTTGCTTGGACTTCTAGGAAGCCCCGTACGACTGGCTCGACATTCATACCCATCATAACCGCCTAGGTCTCAGCTTGAGTCCCCAGGATCTCAAAGTAGGCCCTCATGGAGTCGATCCAGGACTCGATGTCTTCCTTGCCATCGTACTTGGACGGTATTTGAACCGCCTTCCGGTCCACATAGGGACTGGCGTGGCTGGGGCCAGCAGCAGCTGGTTCAGGTCTTGGGGCTGCAGCAATTGCAGAAGTTCCAGCCTCATTGCTTGTTACAGCAACAGTGGAATCTGCACCTGCTGCAGGTCCTGAAGGAGTTGCCATCACACTCGAAGAAGAGGTAGAAGAAGACACAGTAAGAGGGCCAGAGGTAGTTTCGATTGCAGCTTCAGTTCCAGGAGGTAGAGGAAGAGGGTTGGCCACTTGGGCTTGTCGCAGATCCGCCACCTCCTTTGTCAGTTCATGGTACTTGAGGGTCATCTCAACAGATCATCCTGAAGTGTCTGCAGTTTTGCAAAGACTTCAGCGATCTGAGTGGTATGGTCCTCAAGATCCCTTATTTGAACAGAGGCTGTGAGGATGGACTGCAGCTGACTCCTGTTCCCGTTTTATAGCACCATCCAAGAGTGCTTGCAGATGTGGTTTCTCAACATCACCGGCTGCATCTAACAAGGCCCGCCATTGCGTTGAGTTTAGCTGGGCCATCTTTGGACTGTCAGTGTGGGCAGGTGGATCAGAGAGTCGCCAGACAGCAAAAGAATCAATCAGACTCTCAAGAGGTTCACTCCCCCTCGTGCTTAGACGAACACTCCTTTTCCCAGTCCTTGCCCACCTCAGACTATCACTTTCCCTCTCTCTCTGTTCTCTCTCCCTCCTCTCTCTTTCTTCTTTCAGATTGCACGTCTCCACGGGCATCGGAAATGAACTCAGAAAAACAGATACAGCTCAGAGAAGAGAAGGTAGAACTCCTAGCCGGAGCGACATTTCATTTGGAAGTAGAGAACAACAAAAGAAACAATCAAACTCAAAGAGAGGTCTGATCTAGCGACCCAGTCTGATCAGGCTGCATACGAGGTCCTCTCGAGTCCAGCCTAACCAGCTCCGAGTCCGTACAGCAAATCAGACAACCAGTGACCAAATGCAACAATGGAGAATTGAATTGAGTGGTGTACAGGGTGCGAGTCAAGCCACGGATGGTGCAATCAGAATACAAGCGAAACGTCAAAGCCAAGATCCCCTCGGCAGTGGGTGTCCTAATCCAAGAAGAATGAACTCATATCCCAGCCAAGAAGACAAGAGGTCAATGCCTAACCGATTTGGGTCCAAAGGCTCTCCTTGTTTGGGCCCGGTTCCGCTGAGTCCCAATGGTCCCACTCGGTCCCAAGGGTTCCACGTAGGTCTCAACCAGGTCCCAACCAAGAGGAGTCCCACCTGAACTTAGTTCAGTCTCAACTGTATTGAAAAACGAAATTTCAACTTCTGGCAGAACCTACAGACTACAACCGTTCAGTGATGAAAAGACAAAGCACTGTAGAAAGACTCGGCATGTATAACAAGATACTTCATTTTCCATCCATCAGGTAAGTAGGTAGATCACATGCATTCAGTCACATACTTCATTTTCCATCCATCAGGTAAGTAGGTAGATCACATGCATTCAGTCACACAATCAAGACCACAGAGGAGTAGGAAAAGAAACCCAGAGTACCCCAGCAGGTCAATCAATACCATACACACATACATGGGCATCCCGTAGGTGCACGACACTTACCTGGGTGGCCTTGAGCTTCGAGATGAAGAGAACTCACCCCCCTTCTCATATGGTCCTCCTGACCCATCTAACGCTACCCCTACACTAGTGTCCTATCTCCTAGGAGGGTCTGACTCCAACACCCAAGTGCAACGCCGGATCCCCCGTCGATGCTGAAGAACAAAGTAGCAACTTGCAGTCCGTTGATGCAGAATGGCCGCTGACCCTCAAGCTCGCCTACTTGAGGGCAGCCCTTAAGTTGCCAAGTGTCTCCCTTGATTCAGATTCCAGGTGCGAGTGCCTCTCACTGTCGCCTCTCTCAAATTGCCGCATGAAGTCTCCTCGAAATGTCTCGCCACCCCAATCTCACTCTCAAGCAACCTGGTTAGGGTCGCCACCCCAATCTCACTCTCAAGCACCCTGGTTAGGGTCTATGTTGACCCCACATGACCTAACCAGGTGGGGGCAGCTTCCCTTAACCACGCTGCCCCACTTCCCTCAACCATCCAACCCTAACCCTAAGTGTTGCCCTCAACCACTTAGGTTAGGGTTCGGGTAGCAAAGTCAACTCTCACCAGCAAGTAGAATCCGCTCTGATACCAGTGTTATGACCCTGGCCAATTTCGAGATACACATCCACTGGAAAGTACAATGCCATCCAATTGCAGAAAGAAATGAATGAGCTTGAGAGGTGAGAGAGGAGTAGAAGAAGAAGAAGAAGTAAGAAAGAAGAAGAAGAAGATGTACACCAGCAAAGACAGTGACAAGGCTCTTCTTCTTCGCCCAACAATCTCCTCCTCCTTATCTCCCCCTTCTCTTATTCATACAAGAAATAATAATACAATGTTGAATGACTGGTCCAGAATCATGTCCGAGTCCCTTTTCTACTGCAGGTATCACT